CATGCTAGCTTCAGCGCCACTGACTAAAGGTAAATTAATCACATGCGAGGGAGAGAAAGCCCACAAGGAGGGCAGAAGGGGCTCCACAAACACCTTAGATGAGTAATCAAAAAGGGGTAATACGCAAACGTTGGTGCGTCTTTTTTCCACTAGAAGAAATTTACTTCAGAAGAGTACAAAGTTCGTAATTCCAGTGGCTGACTTGAATTCTGTCTTACTCCTGACTAGCCCATCAGTGTACCGAGCTCTGCTTGAAGTTGTGTGCATGAGCACGTCTTTGTATTTGCTTTCTTCTTTCCAAAGAAACTTCGTTTATCATTGCCGACTTTTGGGTGTACAAAATGATTACTGGTGTTGTGTTCTGCCTTGATTACAAGTGTTTTGAGTGGACTTGTCGAAGACAGTTTCACCAGCTATTCTTGTTTAATATCAACTCACTGTTGAGTGTAGCATAGCCACGGTAGCACCTTTTGTTTTATGTGTCAAACGCAGTGCCGGTTCGATTGTACTGCCTCCATTAGCCCTTTCTAAGATGATTTAGCAGTGTCATCAATGACGATTGTTTCCTTGCTGTGCACCAGGATAAGACAGAAATTTCTCTTTTCTCATTTTAAAGGGAGGCCTGGCAGGCTTTGTCGCGAGCCTGGCTGCTGGTTTGACAATGATCGTTGGCACGCTCTACCTCTACACCTTCAAGGAGGCTCGGGTTCCCCCTCTCTCCACTGCCGGATGCTCGACCAACGTCACCATGTCACCGACGACAGTGGCACCGGCGCCACAGTATGCCTTCTCTTTCTTCAACCTCTCCTACCTCTATCTCACTCTGTTCTGTCTCATCATTTGTTTCGTTGTCGCAACAATTGTCAGCCTACTCACTGGTGAGTTCTTCTGCATTTAGCCGTGAAATTTTCCAGTAGTGATGTTTAAACTGCTACTACTTATTTCTATCACATGAGACATGCCCTAGAATTTCGGCTTTTGTTGAAACCACTTCACTACAAACGCGAGTCAAAATGAGGGACTCTTGAGGATTCCATCCTGCAAACAGTGTGATGAACCTCTCTTTATCACCAATTGATGCAGGGCTTAGTTTTTTTGGAATTTCGATCGTGAATAGTGAAAAATCGCAGATGCAATTTTCTTGGAAGAAGTCGGGTTATGTGTTAAATTGAGCGTTTTTCGTCATCGCTACCACTCCGTGTTGACTCTTGCCTCAGACGGGTCGTGAGTGAAGATGACGAAGTTTTCAAAGTGTTGAAACTTGAAAGTGAACGTCTTTTTTAAGTATCGACACAACAGAAGAATCCTGTTGCCGTACTTCTTGCCATTACTTAATGCCCCTTCTCGATGCAGGATGAGGCTCTAGGTTGTTTAACGTTTCCGTAAAGGAAACTTTTAAATGAATTTTTCCTTGGAAGTAGTGTGGGACCAATTGCTATGCTTGGCTGATACTCAGTCTACACCATCTTTGACCTGTGTCCCACACCTAGCGATTTTAATATCCACGTCAAACCGTAGCTTAACGGTTTTGGGCCATGCAACTTTTGCCTACTTCCAACAGCCAGCTCTGTAAACGGGCCTTTTTTTGTCCTTGTGCTTTTCTATTCAATTTGACGCGGGATTGGTATTTTGAAATATGATTAAAGGGAAATAACTTTCTTGACGTAGATATCTAAGGTACAGAAGTTTAGCCTGGATGCTACGTCCCGTCTCTCCAATCCACTGGTCTTTGTAACCACCTTCAGGAAGTTCGAATGTGAAGTCATGACATGCGATTAAACTTTCGTGGCATTGCTAGAGCAAATTTACTATCCCTCGTTATCGCCACTGCAAGTAAACTCTCGGCTTCACTCCCTTTTCTAACCCTACTTTGGTCTGGAATCTAGTCTTACCGATTTCAGCAGTATATTCTATTTAAATGTTGACAAAATTAGTTACCAACGGGATCTTTTGCAGTTTTATTGTAATCTTCTTCTTGTCCTAGAAACAACGGTACAATTTCTTTTTGAAAACTGAATCTAAATGATGAAGTTTTGAGAGACCAGCTTTGTAAAGGTCACCGAAGTCTTTCTGGCTCGCTGCGTGATTTTAAGCGTAGTTACGATTTGCAGTGCTGTTGGAACAACAAATGGGCGTTTTACTGTGGATACCAAAGAAGAAGGTCTGAGATTCTGCGGGTCTTTAAAGTTGCCTCCCAATAGAATCTGTCCGTCTCCACGTTCTAAAAATTGGTCAGAAAAGGGAGATTTTCGAAAGTGGTATCTCCTAACTTGGAGCACAGTGATTGCAATACCCTTCAACCCGTTCCTTAGAATATAGGACTTGGTTTTCTCGAAAATCTGCATCAATGGTTATTTTTGTTCAGGCATTAACAACCAGGACTTGTGCTCGACATCACAATTGCCTTTTAGTTGTTCTTTGAAACTGCCTCGTTATTCAAAACTCGGTAATGCCTTTAACTTGAACTACTGAGTGGAGGCTTAGGAACAGAATCTAGAGGCGTCACGAAGCCCTGTTGATGAAACAACCCCCCGCCGCTTGCTGGAGACGCTGACCTTAGTGGACGCAATAGTTCTTTGCGAGCTATTGATATGCTGGCTACTTAAATAGGGCTTGTTTTCTATCCTACAAGCATCTCGAGTGTTTTTCGATTTTCTGTCCTATCTACTTTGCCTGTTTTCCGCTGGCCGGGTGGGTAAAAAAACAGCAACCGATTGGTTTTCCTGTGGCTCTTGCCATATCAAGTGGGTCTCTTGGGTCTCATGGAGCGAAAAACCATATTTCCTTAATACTACTGACCACTGATACCTGGGAAACAGCTTTATTATAGGAAGACCTGGACAGCCGTAGAATAGCCCGCTTTACCGCTTCACCAGTACTCAGTGTGCGCAAATTTTTTGAAGTTGCACATCCTCGCGAGTGCCTTCACCACTACCATGGAGATTTGTCTCTTGTGCGTTTTTGCAACGATTATCCAGACGCAAAGTTTTCACAAGAATGACTGCTGTGACCTGAGAACAACCACAACTGGGACTGGCAGTGACGTTGACGAGCGGATGATCTTCCCATCACCGTGCCTACGGTGGTCAGTGTGAGTAGTTCCCGAACTCGTGCATATGCTGCTAGGCCAAGTAATGGGTCGGTCACACCCAGTGCTTCCAGGTGGATATAATACTGTCTCCATTTTCTGCAAACGATCCTTGTAGAGTTCCTGTTTTTTGTAGCATTTTTCAAGAGCTGTTAAACATCGTCCAAATTTTACTCTTCCCCCTTGACAGGAATGAGCTCGAAAACTCCCGTTAGCCATTCCCTTCTGGCATGGCAAGCTGTCTGGCTCTACTCAAAGCTTCCCTCCTGTGTGCCTTCTCAGTCCACACCAGAAGCTGTAACTTCGGTAAGCTTGCATTCCCTTTTTGAGATTGTTTGCAAGGCGCCTCCCCCTTTATTGGCTCCTAACCTCACTTGTTCTCCTCATTCCCGCCAGTTACACGCCGCCAAAATGGAGGCGATGATGCATGGAAACGTCTACCTGGATGTGTTCGATGAGGAAAGTTCACAAAAGGTGGCCTTGGGCGCCGACAACGATGTTGAGTTGGTGCTTGAGCAAAAGTTTTAGGCATTGTGATTGTATTCTTTTCTTGACAGCACATATCTCTCCCGTCTTTCTACCTTTTTGTGCTTGATGACAAACAAAGGGGTTGTTTAGTTGTCTTTTGAGGTATTTTTTAAATTAAATAAATGCAAGAGAAATCTCAATGTCTCAAAGACTTCAATTTTAATGGCTTGGAGTATGGGGACGGACACACAACCCAACCCGAGCCTGCCCCAGAGGAGGATGGGTCATCACGAATCCAGGTGTCATTTTTGCTGCAGCTTTTCAACGTCAGAGATGGTACGATGGTAGATGGAGATGATCGGAGGCATGGAAATCACTGCTGAACTACTGAAAATGCTTAAGGTTGACTACAAGTAGATGGAGTAGATTTAAATTGGAGGAATGCAGGTGCTGTGTATCTCTACAACTGATTTCCGCGCCCTTTGATCACAGTGGCAAGATGCCAAGTGATACAGCTTGTCTGTGTGAGGAGGGTTGTTTTAAAGGGTTTTTCAAAGGGAACAAAAGTGTGAAGCGTGATCAGACAAAGTTAGGGTTGACGGCAAACTGTGACCTACGCCTTGCCGCCACTTTGAATGCACCCACGCGCTACGCGCGTGATTTCACCACCGGATAACATGCAGTGTAGTCGTTTCTTTTCTTCGGGGCAAATGCGTTGAGCTTTGAAACCGATCAAGGGCGGCATTTGCAATTGTCGGCAGCCACACGCTAGGCATGACGTTTGACGACGATGAGCGAGAGAATTTGTGTTGTTTTAACAATGAAATGATTTGTTAAATAGGAGGACGAGATGCTCATGTACCGATTGACGCCAGAAAGACTGAACGCTTAGCAACGGGTTTGTGAGGCTAAGCGGTTGTTATTTGCAATGGCGAAACAAGCTGTCTGATACAATGCAAGTGTTAATTCATCACTAAAGCTTAAAGTACAAAATCTAGGACCTAAAACAGGCAGAGAATTGAATAAAGAAAAACTACACATGCTTCTAGAAATTAGAAGAGCTAGTTTAAAATAAATTAAACCTGGAATGGCAGATTCATTTGTGGTAGGTATTTCATCCAGGTAAAATTAGGTAGTCCAAATAAAGTGTTTCCGTTTTTCATTAAAAGGGATGGCTCTAAAATGAAAGCACAAGATGCCCAAAATCAGTAACTTCATAAAGTGCACTTAGTAAAAGGACAATTTTACTGAAAAGCAGTTGCGGAAGTTAATGCGTTGGTAAATGGAATAAATTAGTAGGCTAAAAGTGAGCGAAATTTCTCCCCAGAGGGATAAGTCCATGTGTTAACAAATACTGGGTAAACTAGAACAAACTGCCTCTGTTTCTTAGGAGTTTCATGCACCGATAAAAAAGAAATTAAAACTACTTGCAATTTTGATACGTATGCTCTACAAAGCTCTCGACAGCATGATGTGATTCAATGAGAATTAAACCGTTGGTTAAAACCATTAAAAAGATGCTCAAATGAAGGGATTATCAGTAAATAACTGGGAGATTTAAAGTGAATTAACTATAGAATAAGAGTTTAAAGGGTCGACATAAAAGAACCTAGTTTTGCGTAGAAGGAGCAGATATGAGTGATATGCGTGTACCGTTCATATGCTATTCTATTAGTGATGCTAGTACTTGAAGTCAAATGTGTTCAATTACCAAAGGATTAACTAAACTGCAAAAAAGAGTGACAGAATTTGGCGCTTTTCGGTAACAATTTTTTTTAAATTTTTACTTGCCTAATACCTCTTGAGTCGGCATGCATACTGCATTTATTACGCAAATTTAGAATTTGTTTGTAACCACCCCAATGACCTTAGAGACGGCAACTATGTAATTGGGCGTAGCTGCTGGTTTCGACCTGATGAGGCGGGA